CAGCTCGTTGAAAGGTTACTTATCCGGTACGCCAGATAACTACAATTGTTATGAAAATGCTGGCTGGAATTTTAAAAACGCAACGCAATCGGAAAATGAAAAAGGTGAATTTAGTGCTTGCATACCATTGAAATATTGGTTAGGATTGTTTGAAGACTATAAAAGAATATTAGTGAATTCTAGATTGGAATTAATATTAACCCGAAGTCATAGTGATTTAAATGCTTTACAAGTTAAAAGTGGTGCAACTGCTACTGAAGGTAAAATCACCTTAAATAAAATAGTCTGGAAGGTCCCACATATAACGGTCGACGATGAAGAAAGGTTGAAATTATTGAAACTTATAGAAAAAGAAAAAAGTCTATTTATCCCTTTTAGATCTTTTGAAACTTTTGAATATCCTGAACTCGGAACCACTAAAAAAGTTGTATGGAATTTGAAAACTGCTTCAAAATTAGAAAAACCGCGATTTATCATAATTGGATTACAAAAAGGACGCAAAAATTTGCTAACAAAAGATTGTAGTATATTTGATCATTGTAATTTAACAAACGTTAAAGTATTTCTGAACTCTATAGCTTATCCATACGATAATTTGAATTTAGATTTTACTAAAAATAACTTCACCTTATTATATAATATGTATACATCGTTTCAAGAATCGTACTATGAAAAAAGTATTCGCAACCCGATATTGAGTCCTTCTACTTTTCTGACAAACGCTCCAATTATAGTTATCGATACTTCGAAACAAAACGATTCAGCCACAGCCTCAGCAGTGGATGTTCAATTGGAAATTGAAGCTTCAGAATCGTTCACAGGTGTGACTGCTTACTGTTTCTTAATTCATGATCGTATTGTAGAATATGTACCTTTTACTAGAGAAGTAAGAAAACTTGTGTAAATATTATTAAGAATTTATTTGTAACAATAAAAAAAACTATGATTTAATAATTTGTGTTTTTTCTTGAAATAATTATTTTAGTTTTAAAAATTGGTAAATGTTAAATATTTTTTGTGTGAGACGAAATTTGGTAGTCAATCAGTGTGAAATTGTGTTACACGGTAAATCTGAGTGCTCCAAGGGGACATTCTCCCCTTGAACTTTTTTTTTTCCCTGGAAAAGCTGGCTGTGAACATACAAATATATACTACTGAGGTAGCCGCTTATTGGTCGCAACACAACATATAGAACGTTACCAAAAATGTGATTTATTAGACGTACCAAATTAATTTATTGTATATTTTCTGTATTATTACTATTATTAGTATTTTATTTGATGTAATTATTTTATTTTATTTTATTTTATACAATTGCTATTGGCATTTTTTTATTATCGGACACGACAAGAAAAAGTTAAGTTTTCAAATTTTGTTTTATGCTCATTATCGTAATGTCGCCTGACGTTGTATTCTTTCATTACTGTTATGGTTTTATTACAAATTAAACATAATAACTTTCGATAAAAAAGAAAAGTTCGGTCCAATCTTATTTAAAAATACTATGATCATCGTTAATTTTTCGTTTAGGAGCCATATAGAGTTACACGTACAAAAATTTGAAATACAGAACTGAGACGATTACACTTCACTAGAAAATTGAGTCAGTAATACTAAGTCGTATTTCGTTTTGTATAATAAATTATTATTGATGTTTAACGAAACGTAGATAACGTGTACAATGTTTCTATACATAATATCTATTTTTGTTCAATAATTGTACAACTAACTTCTAGTGAGAAATGCCAATTTTTATCAGCAAAGATTACGTGTTGTATAATATTTTTAAACTAACTATAAATTATTATCGCGGGCCGCATAAAATTGCTATGCGGGCCGCGGGTTGCCGACCCCTGTTCTAAACTAACATAATTGTGTAAAATGTACATTACTACCACAACTACAATGTGTATAGATTTCTATAATCATTTTTAGATTTTACTATATTACTTAGTAGTTAGTACTAACCTTGATAAACTTTGGTCGTCTTTTTAAAAAACTCTGTTATATTTATATAGGAAGTACGTTTTCTTTTTTCAGACATTTTAGAAATCAATAAAATGTGAAATAAATTAATAGCTTCGGTTTCATCAAACTGTTGAAAAAAAACAAGTGCCATTAATTAAATATTTACACACGTTTGCAACACATATTGAATCATCGATCGCTTGAGAAATGACAGTTCAATATTCAAAAATTAAATGATTGATAAGTTGATAACGCCATAACAGCAAAACATATATTTCCTAGATGAATTAATTTTGATAACAATTATTATCATTTTATCAATATTCGATTATTCAATTAACATGAGTATAATAAATTCTAATATTCTTCTTAATCAGTTTCAAATTTGGAATTCCAAAAACTATTTTCTTGTTTTACATCAAAAATTAAAATTATAGAGGGAATATCATTAAGTATTTTAAATTAAATTCAACTTTTCGGCGTTCATCAATAAAAGATTGAAATAACAGGTTTTTTCGTTAATTTATTTTGGGGGGTGCAAAAGTATACATTAGGCAACTGCCCCCTTATGACCCCCCAATGAGTGCCACCTATGATATATCTATGATAGTATCAGGGTTTGTTATTGATGTTGATGTATAACGTGTTATAAGTACCTAATGGATATTGTGATAATGTGATATGATTAATTTGGAATTTATTATACGTCAATTTTTTTTTTAATACCATCGATATGTATATAATTTGTCTTAAACCTAGACTGACATTCAGAACATTTCTTCGCTCAGAATCGTTTTTCTCATACAATGATATTGTATCATTGAATTCAAATTTAATAGCATCCATTTTACAGTGACCCACTTGTAACCTACTGTACAGCAGAGCGACATCCACTTACCCACCTTTTTTAATTTTAACTTCGAAATATACATTTTTAACTGTTTAGTACAGTGTTTCTTAACCTTTTTTATGTTAACACCCCCTTGAGTGACAATCAATTTTTTTACGCCCCCTCCTATGTGAGAATTCTAAAATTAAGGGTATGGCGAGAGACATCGGAAAGGAGTTGATGATTTGCCTGAGACAGATTGTGCCTTCAGAAACTTGTCCCTAATATTTGTGAAAAACGACAAATATTTTTACGGTATTCGGAAATTTTTTTCTTACATATAGGTATACTCTTATATATTACTAATTATTAGTTATTACTTATTAACTATATTAATTTGAATATAATTTATAAGTAATAGATAGCCAGATAGGTGTGTATTATCGAGTTTATAATGGTGGTTGTTGTATATTTATAGTAGTGTTGATTTATAAACATAAAATTGAAAAAAATATTATTTTGCTATTAAAATCTACCTAAATCATCTAAAAAAAAGTATTCGAAAAATATTTGGAATACTTTTTGTGAAGTATTACGAATACTTAAGAATATTATTATCATACAGTATTCGAATACCGTAATTGTGGGTGAATAGAAACAGGTTTACACCTTTCAGGTGTTATATCTCTGGATCTAAAATATGTACAATGCTGTGAATTACATCAAAATTTGGGTCTCACCGTGTACTACATGATAGAATTTTTAACGGTTATCCAACTATAAAATTTGATTTTATAAATTTTTTGAAGTACGCTGTTTCTATTCACCCGCAGGTGTGGGTGAAAAAAAAACAGCTGCCTAGTATTCATACAATTTGTTATTCAACTGTATTGAGGTTGAATAGAAACATAATTTTTAATTTTTTTTAAAAAAAAAAGCATTCAAATAACTTACTTATAGCCTTTATTTTATGAAAAACAACATTTTAAACATATTTTATTTTAATAACAGTATTTTTTTTTATTTAACAATTAAAATAATTTATTCAGTCTTTGAATTTAATAGTCTTTTTAAGTTTCTTATATTAACTAATTTAATTATATAAACTTACAAAACAACATTTTAAACAATTTAACAAATAAAATAATAAATTCAGTCTTTGAATTTAATAGCCTTTATTTTTCTTATATTAACTTATTAAAGTAAAGCCTTCTTTGGATACTTTAAACATACCTACCTTGGTATTAAGAATATAGGTAAGTAAATGTACAATTTATATAACAAATACTTATAATGATTTGTAGTTAATTTGAAATTTAAATAAACCTCTTTAATATGGTTCAGGGTCATTCAGCTTACCAACTATTTGGAAGAAACTTAATGTAAATTCGTCTGTAACATTTGGGAACCCATATATAAATCCAAAATGGTCTCTTGTGTTGATGTTTCTTAAAAATGTACCAATAAACTCACCATGATCACATTTTAAAACTTTACAAACATAATACTTATAGATTTTCTTACTAGTTGTTGCTTTTTTTGATATGATCTCGAAACTAACTAGTAACCACATTCCACCTTTTACATCAGTCATTTGAGAAATATGATGGACATTGTCAAAACGTTGATTGTATTTTATAACATGTGGTAAAGTCTCAATATTTACATCAACATCATCTTTTTCATCTGAGCTATCATCTGAAATTACTGCTGGGGATATAATAGAATCAACAACATCTTCTGGTTGGTCAACTGTACTGGAAGAATCAGATTGATCTCCAAGTTCAGAATTAGAACTCTCCACAACCTCAACACTTTGTCCTGGTTGAACATTCAATTTTTTTCTCTTTTGACGCACATTTGTTGTTTCAGTACTTCTCATAGATTTTAAAAATTCTTTTAAACTACTGTTGACATGATCAGAAACATCTAGGTCATCATATTCTACTGGCAACATATTTAATACCTTGTCACGATTTAGAGGGTATATTCCACATTTTTCGAAACCCGATTTTAAATTATTAGCACAATTTTCTGATATTTTTTTCATTAAAATATTGAGAAAATATTGGAAAACGATCTTTAGGCACCAAACACTCATTCCTTCCATCCCCATTTTTACAGTTTTCCATTAAAATACGCCAATGACACTTCAGTGGCCTAAAAAAGGCAACATCAAGTGGCTGGGTAAGATGAGTAGAGTTTACAGGTAAAAAGCAAATGAAATATTATGTTCTTTAAAAGCTTTAATTGATTCCATTGAAATGTGACTGGATAAATTGTCACCTATTAATATCTTTCTCCCAGGTAAATTTTTCAAGTATGGTATAGAAATAATTTTAATCCAGTCATCAAATGAGTAACTGTCAAACCATCCAAATTGGCTTGATGCATATCTTGATCCTTTTGGACCACCTAAGCGCCAACTGTCAGATATTGTTTTTGCCTTATAAACAGTAAAAGGTGGGAACAATATACCATCTGCCGTACCAGCAAACATGACAGAATTTGATGTTTTACTATTATTCATTACCCTTTCTGGATATTTTGTACCACGTTTAGTTATAATTTTTCGACGATCGGGGTCATCTGTTAAGTTTGTTTCATCGTAATTCAATATGTTAGTTGGTGATACACCATCAAGTGAATTTGTAAGGTTATCAAAATATGAATTGATTTTACTTCTAGTAACACCTGCCCGAGAACGTTTTATATTCTGACACATTCTAACGGCTAAAATATTTTTATGTCTGGTGAGAAAACTATCTGCCCAATCTCGACCAGGCATAGTACCATTTTTAAACTTTTTAACCTTTTTTTCCCCGGCGTTCAAGATATCCATTAACTAATAATCTTAAATCGAATCTGCCAATCGGATAACCCCATTTAGCGCAAAACAAAATACCTGATACAATTAAATTCTCTTCTTCTTTAGAAAGTGATGTTTGGCCTCCTTGTGTTTTGATCTCCGGGTTTTTAACATGTCTGTAAATAACAGAATAATTTATACCGTAAACTGACTCAGCTTCTCTGTAGGACATCTTCTTGAGTTTGACAGCAGCAACAGCATTAGCTAAATCAGATTTGTTAGGTTTTTGATAACGCTTGCCGCGCGGATCTGGCTTATATACTTTTGGCATGTTTCTATTCACCCGGAAAACAAAATGTTTTGATAAAAAAATTATAAAAAATCAGTAATTCATTAAACAGGATTGATACTTACGTTAATTAATTTTCCGCAACAACGCCGAAAAGTGAAAAAAAAAATTTGGAGTTATCACAATTCGTCCATGAGAACCATGATAACAAAGTTGATACACATTTTTTGGAGGTAAAATAATTTTTACTCCTATCAATTTTCTTATCGACAATTTTTATGGAGGTAAAAAAGTATCAATTTAATTCGATTTTTCATAACATAACCAATGTAATAAATCAAAAACTTATAAAAATAGTTATACTTGGACCGTAGTTATTGGTCAATGAAACTTATTTCGAAATTTTGTTTCTATTCACCCACAATTACGGTACATATTCTGAATACTTTTTTTTAAGTATTCGGAATATGTATTTGAAATACGTTTAATAAGTATTTAACCAAATCTAAATTTTTGGAAAATAACATTTTACGAAACGAAAATATTTTTATAAAAACACGTTTTTAACGACTGAATATTATAATAAGGACAACTAATACATCATGCTCGGTTCGAATCAAACGGTGTACTAAAAGGTTGGTTAATATAGGTACCTATAATTTAGTACGTCATTTATATTTTTGAAAAATGACTGTAATAGATATGAAAAATGTATATTAAACTTAGTACTTACTTAAATTGCACAGCAACACTCCTACTCATTAGGAAGTCTTCCGACATGCAATGCGCCACGGCAAAAGTCCCTGCAGACGTGATCCCATTTATTTCTTCAAAAATGGTGTTGGACGACAATACGGTTTCAGCCATGCTGCAACATTTATAGTAACATAAATTACCAATACCATGGAAACACTTATACATTCAGTAATACAATTATGTAGGTATGTATATTGTTTTTTGTAAGAAAAAAGTGGTGCAGGGCGTTCGTGCTTGAAAAATCACCAGTAGGTATACAGTGCCGCCGAACTTCAAAAAATGTATTACAAAACCACTTATGGGCCACAAAAACCTGCAGCATTTCTTATTTTTACTTAATATATTACACGTAATTTTATTAAGTCATATTTTAAGAATTAGAGCCGTGGATCCGTGACTTTGGTCAAGAAATACAATTTTTTAAATGTTTGTTTTTGAACTAAAACAAAAATAAGAAAATTGTTACATGAGAAATTGAGTCAATATCCAATGTTCTAAAAATAAGATCTTCAAACGTTTATAAAAATTTATTTTGAATTGATTTGAGACATTTTTTAGATTTTGAGTGAAACGATAAATGTATTGATTTTACAATGATGTGTGTTTTTTTTTTTTTTTTTTTTATGTGTATCATCACGTTTTAGGACAGTAAAAGTGCTTGGATTTTCTTCAACAGTAGCTTTTCTGATAGGAAAGTGAATCTAGTTGGTACTTTGGGGGGTCAAAAATGTTTCAGTAGTTTTCACAAGCGCCGCGAAAAACAACATAAAAATAAAGGAAAAACACGAATTTTTACACAAAATCGGTTTTCAAAAACGATAAACTGTAGATACATGCAAATTTCACTGAATGGTTAAATTAGCATTTTCTATACACCATACAATTTTGAAAATATTTTGACTCTTGTTGAGCTGATTACGGACATTTTCAGTTTTCAATTTTTTTAGTTTTTTTTTTCTATAAATATCAATTAAGTTTTATCTGTTGGGCCAAAAACTGTAAAAATGTAATTCAAGGCTCCAGATATATTGTTACAATATCAGTTCAAAAACATTGAAAATACATAGGCACAATTCTTTTTTATAAGCATTTAAAGTTGAAATTTTGACAAAATGTATCAAAAACTCGAAAATTATCAATCATTGTAATTAATAAATTATAAAATGTTCAGTTTTTATAGCTAAGGATTGCAAATTTAAAACAAAGGTTCTCATAAATAGGTGTTACTGTAACCAAAAAGATCTAAAAAATATATGGACACAGTTATTTTTTACAGACATTTTAAATTCAAATTTGAATGAAATACATATTAAAAAACCTAGAATAACTATTTTAGTTATTTAGTTGTGATTGAATAATATTATTCGTGGGTACTTGAAACTTCTAAAGTGTACTATTATATATCTATGATAGTATCACGGTTTTTGTTGGTGTATAACGCGTTATAAGTACTTAATGGATATTATGATATGATTAATTTGGAATTTATTATAGGTAACTACCTATTATAGTGTAATGGGATTACGCAATTCATGTACAACGCTCATAATAACAAGAACCACTTATGTGGAAGGCGGCCTCGTCGACCGCACCCAAAAGTAGTCATAGCTAGAATAGACGCTTCAAACCACAACAACTTCCCAAGGGCGCCTACATGCCACGCGCCGCTCAATTCAAAGGGCGTCGCCTTCGTATATATAGAGGCCAGGGCCCCAATACACATTAGATGTACCACAGCCTCCAAGACCAAGCGAGCAGCTTCAGCACCAGCCATTACACACGACTTACATGGAGATTATGGACTAATACAACGAGTCAACCACGGCTCTGCAATTCTCCACGACTATTTTAATTATTATTGGTTTTAATAAATTACAATTGATTTATATTTAAATTGACTACATTTTATTGTAAAAGTGCAACAGCTTTTGGATCCCTGAAGGGCCATACGTAACACTGGCGCAGTCGAAGTAGGATTTCTTTCAAAGGAGGCAAACCGTCAAAGGATACTGTCAACAACGAAGAATTGATCACTCTTCTGCGAAGACAACGCCAGGAGGAACCAACAAAAACAAATAAGTCACACGCAGTACCAACAAATCCATCAGCAGCATCATCAACATCGACAACATGTCATCGTCAGCCATGAACGCAGCATTATTGTGAGTGAATAGTTATTTAAATTTGTTACATAGACGTATGCAACATAATTAAGACATATTAGATAATTCTAAGTAGTTGACTATAAGTATAATGGTGTAAAACGTTTTAAATTTTATTGAGGGCATATTTTATTATTGAAGTTATTATTGATTTATTGAGGGCATATTTTATTGATTATTATTGAAGTTTTATTGAATTTATTGAGGGCATATTTTATTGATTATTATTGAAGTATTATTGAAGTTTATTTGAATTTATTGAGGGCATTCTTATTATTGAAGTATTATTGAAGTTTATTTGAATTTATTAGAGGGTGTATTATTGAAGTTATTATTGAATTTAAAGGGCATTTTGAGTATTATTATGAGTATTAACGTATTAAATAGGTAGCTAAGTAATTTATGGACAAAGAAGGTACATCTCCCTTGAACGCAGCTAATTCATTGTATAACACTAGTGTAAACGAAGAAACCCAGTTAGAAGCCCAGTTATTAGCCCAGAAAGAAGCCCAAGCCCATTTTGAAGCCCAACAGAAAGCCCAGTTGAATATTATAGTAGAAACTCGGTTAGGAGATAGCGCAAGTAGAAACCCAAGTCCAGGAGTAATCACACGTAGCCAAGTTACAGATAGTTTTGAACATCAGTCATAAGAATTTTTACCTATAACACGCACTAAAAAATGGCAGTAACCATAAAATTAGAAGACGCTTTTAAATTAATTATACTATGCACAGGAATAGACGATATCCATCAATTCATAAATGCATGCGATATGGCAGTAAGTTTAGTCGACACAAACAGTGCACCAACGCTAGTAAAATATATTACCACACGTTTAACGGGTAGAGCATTAGAAATGATTAAATACAAAAATGTATCGAAATGGCAGTTTATAAAAATTTATTTAACAGATGCATTTGAGGTAACAACCACGGCATCGTCGTTAAAACTTCAATTAAACTCGATTAGAATGTATCACAATGAGGATGCAAATGATTATTGTCATAGAGTAGAGAAACTATATTATCAGTTATGTACCGTAAGTGCATTAGGCAAAGAAGCTGCAGAAGTAAAAATTATACATGAAATATTAAGGGAACAATCTCTAGCGATATTTATTAAAGGATTAGTAGAACCGATTAGGACAATAGTAAAATCTCGCAATCCCAAAACTCTGGAGATCGCGAAACACCTTGCTATGTCGGAACAGGTGGAACTAAGATTAGAACAGGAAAATAGGAACCATTATTCGAATATTCATTCACAAAATTATAATCAGCGCAGATCGAATTACGAAAATAGGAACAACGAAAACATTAGACCAAATAACCATGTAAGGACAAATAATTATCCGCGAGCAAACAATTTTTCTCAACCAATCAATAGGCCAGCAATAAAGTGCTATAATTGTAATGGTAATCATTATGCATCTCAATTTAGGAATAATACGAGACCTAGTTATGCGAGCAATGGCAATAACAACCGACCACCTGATAGGAATAATTTTACGCAACCACCAACGAATTATAATATACAGGTCATTACGTGTTCATACTGTAATCGAAACGGTCATAATATCGACTCATGTTATAAAAAGAGAAACGATGAGAGTAGAATTGTTAATAATTCGGAAAACGAAAACGTGTCGAACGAAAGGCGCGGTACTCGTACGATAAACCAGATTATCGCGGAACAACCGACTCACGAATATTCCACATATTATCAACCTTAGAAAATAATCATATAACATTTAATTCATTCGCCGCAAACACAAATCAATTACAAATTCGTTACAGACCCGGAGTTCTAAATTCAAATGTAGATACTCTCACACGCATATATTCAATTCAGGAAATAAAAAACGAAGCATACGAACAGTATATCGAAAAGTTAGGAACACAAATTATCACAAATATTAATGTAAAAGAAACTATAGGTACACTAATAGATTCACCAAAAGAATATAATATAGTATCAGAAATTGCCAAGCAATATAATTTTAGGACAGGAACAAATTATCAGTTGAAAAAACAATTCGAAAACGATACAATATTGCCGACTAGTAAAGTAATAGGAGACACACCCTATTTCAAACAGGAAAACAGGTTTATAATATTCTTAGT